ACTTGCAGCTGAGTGTCGCCTTTATATAGCAGTCGGCTGCTCGCAGACGAAAGCGTAGAAGCATCGAATTGTTCGCTATGGAAGGTTCTCGTTTTATCGTACTAGTTATCGGCTTCTCTCTTTCATCTGACATTCGCCTCGCATTTTCTCAACAATATGTAGAGAATAGCGAAATCGTAAAATTATCGTTAAGTCATAGAACAGAGAATTCCCCTACTGGCTACAATGTTAGAAAAAACTTTGGCAGCACTGTTTTTTCGTCATTGTCAAACTACTTTTGCCAGTTGATAAAGTAAAAAGAAATATATTCACATCGAAAGGGAAGACGTTGCGCAAAAATATCAATAAGTTTTATTAATTTGTTTATTAAATCATAAATATTTAAACTGAATTTAGTAAAATATGCGTAAACGACAAAAAACGCTGAATGAAAACGTTATCTTACATATTAAAAGGGCTGTCTCGAAAACTTCTTAAAATACACCTTTTTGCACATTTTTCTTCATCTTCAATGAATTTCAGGCCTAAAATATGCCTACCCATTTTGGTTTTTGGTTTTTTTCTCAAACTGGCAACACAGTATCAAACAGCAGATATTTTGTTACCTCCTATTTTGCTGCTGAATGGAAAATTTTAATACCTAGGTAAATTTTGTTACCTCGACAGAATAGGCCTGTCAGTAAATAATTTCACTAGCACACAGAGATACTTTCCTCAAGCAATTTTTAGATATTTGTTTCTTCATAAATATTTTTTTCTGTCTTCAATTTTCTTCATGCGCAATTTTTCTTTCGCCTCGCTTTTTTTTAATATTTCTAAAATAGAAAAATTATGTTTGTGTAAAGGAAGATATAGCTTTTATTTATTTACTTTCTTTTATAAATTTTTATATTTGATTAAGCATCAACTCTCCCCTTTCTAAAGCTTAATCTAATTACATAACTTATCCTTCTCACTATCATCAAAGTCAATCAGCGGCTCCTTCAATACTCTCTAATGTTTCTTGCATTAATTCATCTTTATATGCCAACTGTATTATCTGAAGTATTTATTAATAATTGGGTACATATACGCACAGGCATATATGTTTACTTGAACATACAGATGTATATATATGTAAATATTGTAGTAAAAACCCGAATTTCAGATTCCAAATTTACGATATATAATCATTTGAAATTTGCGCCAACTACAATCAGTATGAAATGTGAAACAAAATAAAAGGGTATATCAAAATCTACATTGACCACCAGAAACACAAGGTGTGCTGTCGACTTTGTCGTCGCTCCTCCCCCACAAACGGGTGTTTTGTCGACAAAAAGTATCTCCGTGTAAACCCAGACTATATAGCTACAGATTGATTGCTTGCATAAATCTTTTAGAAGATTCTGTTTCAATGTTCTCGATAACGAACATTATACATTCGCTCCATCCAGAACATGATTTAGCTATCGGCCCACGACGTCACATTCGTATTTGGTATTTTTGTCACAACTTTGCAATATAATCTTACCTTTACACCTGGTAAACATGATGCTATAAAATCTAGATGTCTGGCTTCGGTAGTCGAATGTAATCCTTGTTTTGTGCTAAATTTAAAATATTATATCTATATGTAAGCTTTGGAACTCACGTTATTGTTGAAATATATACTTTTATAAGTAATTGTATATTAACAGGCCTATTCTGTCGAGGTAACAAAATTTACATAAATAATGTAATTTATCCATTTTGTTACCATTTCGTATTCTGAGCTCACTGTTACCCTGTAAATTTTGTTACCAGCGAAATAGGAGGTAACAAACATATCTGCTGTTTGATTTTGTGTTGTAAATTTGAGAATCAACAAAACACTAAAATGGGTAGGCATATTTTAGGCCTGGAATTCATTGAAGATGAAGAAAAAAGTGCAAGAACCGTATTTTAAGAAGTTTTCGAGACTAAAAAATAGCCCTTTAATTTGAAAGATAACGTTTTCATTCAGCTTTTTTGTTGTCCAGGCATATTTTTCAGAATATTTTTCTTTTTACTTTATCAACTGGCAAGTGTAATTTGACTTGGACGAAAAAAGCAGTGCTGCCAGATTTTTTTTAATCATTGTAACCAGTTCGCCAGATTACCAAATGCAATTTCGAGTGTTAAAGAAAACTAAAGAATCTACTTTCCGGTAACAGTGAGAATAGGCATGTAAATATTATTGACACCGATTTCGGTACACTCGATATTTTTTTCGAACAGAAAGTACAACACTGTGCTGGCACTACCGCTGCTTTTGAATCAAAATCCTGAAACATTTTTGTTTTGTTATAATTTTCTCCTTATAAGTCTACGCAAATGAGAAAATAGCTCTTTTATATTTTTGTTTAAATTAGCAGTGTCTTTTAAAAAGAGGCATGCAAAGTTCAAGGTCATTCAGTGAATTGCAAGGAGATCATAATTACGTAGCAACGCTTAACTTGCGTCGAACTCGCTCCACTTCCAGTGATGACTCCAGTATTGAATTCAATAATCCGTCTAGGCGGAGAGCACGACGAACACGAGGCCGCTTAGGAGATACTGATCATGATTATATTGGTCTACGAGCTTTAAGTGAAGAAGATGGAGATGTCGACGCTGAAGCTGAAGCTCATGTCGATCATAATAATGAAAATATTGAGGAAGCGCATGTAGACTATGATGGAGAGGGAAATAATGCTAATGAAAATGACGCAGATGAAGAATCTGTTAATAATACTGCAGAGGAAGCACGAGAAATCCTTAGAGCCGAATTGGCACAGGGTCCACAGTTGGGTGTTGAAAGACAAGAAAATGGTAAAGGGCTAAGCGCATTGGCTATAAAGTGTTTATTATATAATATATGTATATTACAAATAAATTTCTATTGCAACTGTTACAGCTGAGCCAACGCCACCTGATCCAGCCTTAGCAGAAAACAACGATGGAGCGGCCTCAGCTGTCTTCACCGTGCCCAACAACCAAGCATCAACAGTGGATTTAGTATCACCGTCACCACCTAAAAAGCGCAAGAGACATAGTTTAGGTACCCCAAAGTCAAACACGCCACGAATAAAAACAAAAAGTGGCAGCGGTGATGAAGGTGACGAGGAAGATGAGGGCATGATATGCCCTATTTGCCTCGATAACTGGGAAATGTCTGGTGAACATCGTCTGGTGTCCCTTCGTTGCGGACATCTCTTTGGTGATTCATGTATACGCCGCTGGTTGGCTGAGAGTGCACGGCAGTCGGGCATTAAGGCGTGTCCCCAATGCAAAGCAAAAGCTACAAATCGTGATATACGCTGTTTATATGCCAAACGGTTAAGAGCCATTGATCGTAGCGAAGAACATCGTCTACGTGATCAGTTGGAAGAGGAGCGTAGACGCGCACAGTCACTGCAGACTGAAGTAGCGGCGTTAAAAATAACACACAAAATGGTTACAGTGGAAATGCAAACGCTCCAGGCCGAGAATGATCGCTTGAAGCAAATGTTACGCGATGGTAATAATTTCTCCTACAATACTGGCGCTTCGGATGCCTATAAATTGTCCACAGCACAGATGCACCGACTTTACCTCGAACATACTATTGAATTGACACGTGAGCCGGGTTGTCGTGTACTAATACATGCCGATCAACATTCGTCAATTTTGGCATCACAGAAAAGTGCACAAGGTCTTTTTCCTGGTTATGGCGTGCGCTTCATCGATGTGCCTACGTTACGTACCTCAACATTCCTACACGCTTCATCGAAGTTATTGAGAGACATTTGCTTGAGCGCTGATCAACAACAGCTCGCTGTGGCGAGTATGGAGACTCGTTCAAAGCTGTTCGATTTACGCACTCGCCAAGTGGTTTCCATTTTCGAACCATGTGAGAAAACGCTGTGGGCCTGTGCAATAGATCGCAAAGAACGAGATAATATACTTTATCTAGGTGGCTCCAATGGCAGCACGTATACCTACGATATGCGTTTCTCCGAGAATATTTTGGAGGAATACAAAGCGGAAGGTGAGTTTGGTGGAGGGCAAATCGTATATTAGTTTCAAACCTTTAATGTTCTTCCATCATCTCTTCTGTAGGTGATATGAGCACTGTGATTAATGTGGCTTGCGTATATCCGTGTAATAATTTCCCGCACGGGGGTTTTCTCGTCTGCAAACTACAATCGCTGTGGTTTTATGAATACACGAGTGCCGACAGTATAACTATACCTACGCGACTCAATCTAGAGGGCCCCTTCAGTTCAATGCAATTCGATGCTGCAAACGAAACACTTCTGGTATCTGCGCGTTGCAGCGTACGCCATCCACAATCGCGTTACATTGTTGGACGTTTGGAGAAGTTGGATGGTACAACTGTGCTCAATATAAAGGTGACCTTCCATGGTTCCAAAGCTACACCAGTAATGACTCGTTGTACTCAAGTTGCGGTTGAAGCGAACACGCTGGTAGCCGGCTACATACAAGATATTAAACAGCTGGCATTGTATGATGTGTGTAGGGAAAAGCGCATTCAAACTATGCCTGCGCAGGAAGTACTCTACGACATGTGCCCCGTTTATACCAGCAAGTCCACATATCTGGCCGGACTCTCGGAAACTAAATGTCGTATTTACAAGCTGACTTCAACGACCTGATAGTGTATCGACGATAAGTAGTCCTTAATTAGTTTAGCATACAATTGATATTTAATCTTATTTAGGTGTTCTGTACTTTTATCATGCCAATTTATTTCATTTTAGATATTTGTTTTATTATTTGGCATATAAATATCGCAAATATTTAACCAAAATTTTCCTTAAAAATATTCATATTCACCGACATACTTACATGTGCTGAACGCATTGACTCACTATATACCCTTCATACTCGTGGCAGTCGGTGCAGCGACGAAATGATATTTGTAATCATTATGTTTATATAAGGCTAAAGCGAAGAAAGTCATGTACGTGTACTTCAAAAACGATCTTCTTCAAAATGGTAATAAAATTTTGCTCTGACTGAATGTTAATATAAAAATTGCATTTGTGTTGTCTTCATAACTTTTAAGTTAAACAGGTCATCTAACGGAGCTCCAAGTTTTGTCGGTGAGAGGAAGATGTTTTTGTTTTAAGGGCCATGCAAAGAGTGTTCGGTGTGTGGGTGCTCATTACATGGAGGACATTAGTTGGTTACATAGGGGTCAATTCGGGGTAAATACGAATTAAGTCGACTACAATGTTTAGTTTTAAAGTGCTGTGTGGTGTTTCTCAAATCAAGTACTCACTTCCTGATGTGCCTCTGGTAGTGTGGGAAACTTCTAAGCGTAAAAGTGAAACAAAAAATGCGAGAATAGGGCGCCACCATGACGAAACGAGGATTCGTCAATGTCCGATGGACGATGTTAAAGACAGACCACTTCGTGAGCAGGGTCGGCTTTGGTTGGGATCATGGACTATCTGGGTGTTTATGACGTTAAGAGCAGTTGTGGTGGTATAAACTTTTCGGAAGGTAAGGAGACATATTGACCGATTTGAGTTTCCCAGTGTACACATATCGGGTATGTTCGGAGTGTTTAGAGGCGAAATGAGTACTTTGGTGTTCCTGCTGTATCGACATATTTATTCCGTCGAGGCTGATTCAGGGGGTCATAAAGAAGGCGAAAGTCTCCAAATCTACCGGCCTCGACGGACATGTTAATGCTAAAAGAACTCGGACCAGCGGGAGCGGAATTTCTCACCAAGGTCCTCAATTTGTCTTTGACCACCCTAATTCTACCTGACATGTGGGAAACGGGCAGGTCGCGCTACTCAAGCCGGGAAAATCAGCTCACAAAAAAGAGTCTTATCGCCCTGGCCGATTTTTTTTGGCACTGGATTTGCCAAAAGCCTTTGACACAGTCAAACATTCAGTACTACTAACGGACATTAAAGAATCCTCATTACCGCCGGGGTTGGAGAAGTTGGTCATGGGTTACCTGAGTGGTCGGCAATCATCGGTAATATTTCGATGTAAAACATCGAAACTCAGAAAAATTAAACAGGGGGCTACGCAGGGTGGTGCCCACTCCCCGGTACTGTTTAATTTTTACATTTCGAAACTCACTCATCCACCAGAAGGATTTTCCCTAACCTCGTATGCCGATGATTGCACGATAATGGCGTCTGGAGTATTATTTAAATATCGCTAAAATTTTCCCAGCAGGAATTTGAAACTTCCACTCAAAAGTAAATGTCGAAGTCCCGCGCTTCATTGAAATTTCAAAAAAAAAAAAAAATATTACAGCATGTCCATAAAGTCAGCGAACATTTTTGTCAACAAAACGAAAATTATTTGAAATGAAATTTATATTATGAAAATAATATAATAAACTAACAAAAGAAGTGGTACATATTTTTTTAAATTTAACTGATTGATAACAACGATTCAAATAAATAATATAAAGCTTTTGTTGAGTATAATTGAGTTGTATATATATTATAATATATATACATATATTCGAAAAGATCCAAGGTTGTATAGGGTTCAGTTAATAAGCTAATCCCAAAAAAAAGTCTTTAAAGGTGCTGTATTTCCAAACAATAATCAGCTTCCCACTAGTGATAACGTCCAATATTTAGGAATCATCTTAATCGACCTCTAACATGGAAGAATCGTATTAAGGCTAAGCAGCGGGAGCTAAAAATTAAAACAAAACGAATGTATTCGTTGTTAGGTTGCAACTCTCGGCTTAGTCTAGAAAACAAAGTACGGCTCTACAAAGCTATTCTTAAGCCTATATGGACCTATGGGACAAGCTCTGGGGTACTGCTAGCAGGTCCAATGTGGAGATACTCCAACGTTACCAATCGAAAACGTTGCGATCAATGGTTAGTGCTTCCTGGTCTGTTACCAATTAAGCTATTCACAAGGACCTGGGACCTGGCCTTTGTAAAGAGTGAAATTCCAAAATAAACCGCTAGTTATCATGCACGCCTATCTAACCACTTAAATCTAATTGCTATGCACGTGTGGCTATTAGATACCACCTAAGAGACTGTACGACTAAAGCACTGTCTTATTTTAGAAATAAATAAAAATTTGAACCTTAAGTTTAGGTTGGTAGTTAAGTTTTAGCTAATGATAATGTTGAGAATTCACAATGAAGATAACAAAACGGAAGTATTCCTGAATTTTAACATAACTATTTATGTAGCTTAGCGCAAAGCAAAGATAGATTGCTAATAAAAGAAGTGAAAAAAAACTCATTTTTGTATTGGATGAGTGCATAAGTTCGTGCCCGATTTCAAGTGCAAACTAAAATTGAAATTTTTTGAAGAAAGCGCTTTTATTAATCAATTATGTATTCGCCATCATGTTCGGCAATCTACTCCCAACGTTCAACCAATTTACGTATGCCGGATTCATAGAAATCGCGCGGTTTCTCGTTGAAAAAGGTGTCAAGGTGGTTTTTGACGTCTTCCACAATTTTAAATTTTTTTCCATTCAAATTGTTCTGCAGCGATCGAAACAAATGATAATCAGAAGGTGCAATGTCAGGTGAATATGGGGGATGCGGCATGATTTCCCAATTCATCTCCTTCAGTTTGGCCAGGGTCGGTTTTGCAACATGTGGCCTGGCGTTGTCATGATGGAAAAGAACTCCTTTGCGATTGGCCAAAATCGGACGTTTTTCATCAATTGCTTTCTTCAATTCGACCAATTGCTGACAATACTTGTTGGCAGTGATCGTTTCTCCAGCTGGCAAGAGCTCAAAATAGATCACGCCTCGGATATCCCACCAAATGCACAGCAGTACCTTCATCGGATGCAATCCACCTTTCGACATCGGTTCCGCCCCTTCGTGTGCCTGTTTCCATGTTCTTTTGCGTTGAACATTGTTGTACAGGATCCATTTTTCATCACCAGTCACGAGCCGATCCAAAAAAGGTTCGTTTTTGATCCGTCGAAGCAAAGAAATTGCTGTTGACATACGGTCCACTTTGTTTTTTTCACTCAACTGATGTGGCACCCATGTATCGAGCTTCAAAGTGTACCCAACCTTTTTTAAACGACGAAACGCAGTTGATTTGTTGACGTTCAATTCACTGGCAACCTCTTCCGTCGAAATACGTGAGTTATTCGCAACTAAAGTCCTTAGAACATCGTCATCAAGCTCAGAAGGCCGTCCACTGCGAGGTTGATCTTCGAGGTTAAAATCTCCAGAACGAAATTTCGCGAACCATTTCTTTACTGTGCGGAGTGCTGGAGCACGGTCCAAATAAACTTCGCGAATATCTTTAGTTGCAGCGCCTACTGTTTTTCCTTTGCGGAATTCGTATAACATAATATGACGCATATGATCTTTTTCGTTGTCCATCTTCCATGCGTCTTTTCACTAAGCAACTCAAATAAAAATGAAGTTATTTTATGCTTGATTTAGAGTTCGGACTGTCACCTTTCCAACGATACATAACATGTATATATTTCTTTCACGAGCGCCACTCTCAAACGATTCGAACGGCATCCAGCGGAATCAGGCACGAACTTATGCACTCATCCAATATTTCATACCGACACATTTTGGCAAAGCAGATTTTACATAAATCTTTGTCTTTCCTCTGATTATTAAAAATCCTCTGATTATTAAAATAACAAATTTACCGGTGTCTTTATGGTTTGACGGCCATGAAGCATGCAGAATTTTTGTATGCAACTAAAAAAAATAAAATAAATAAAAACTAAATTACTAAAAAAGCAGAAAACAATAAACTTATAAATTAACGAATTCAAATGTAAAAGCCAAAATAAACGGAAATCAAACATCTGAAGCTAGTTATACAAATACAAATGTATGTATGCATACGAGTATTACACTTAAGAATAAAAGAAATAAATTATGTTTCATGCAAAGAATGATTTAATAAGGTCTCTTATGAAAAATAATGGTGCTAAACACTAAGAATGAAAGGCCGAACGAAAATTGAGAAAAATTTTCATCATCGCTATGTCATCGAAATGAAAATTCTTGACTGCTAATTTTTACGGCAGGTTTGATTACAATCTGATCAAAACTCCAACGCCGATCTTAAGGAGAGAATACTCCTTGTTCTATTAACGTTCTCGAAATTCTGCATTGATATCAGATCCTAACATCTCACAGCTCATTAAGTTTTATGTATTTACCACAAAGCGTATTTAAAATCATTCTACCTTGAATTTAATCCCAGTTAAAGTGGAACAAAATGTTGTAATTGGAATCTATTTTTGCAAATTTCAATCTTGAAAACATTAATTGTTTAAAAATTGCTGTTTGCAGTATAAAAAAAGAGAGAAAATAAAACATATTTGTTTTGGTTTTTCACTTCACAAGTAAATTTTTTACACTTTTTTTATTTTAATTTATTCGTATTTGCATTTTGTATGTATATGAGTTGTGTTTATGTGTATGTTTGTGTTTTGTGTTGGTGTTTTATGCTAAATTTACATAAAATACGTACTTATCATTCATATATACTGTATGTATGTATGTTAAATGCATGTAAAAAATCATATTATTCACTTAAATAATTTTCATTTTTTCATTTTCGGAAATATTAAAATACACACGTATGCAATGATTTTAGAAAACTGTGCATGTAGCATTTTTTCAATTTTGTTTAAATGTAAAAAATAAAATTAAATTTATCAACTCTTAATTTAACTTCATTTAATAATTAAATTAAATTTACATATAAAAACTAGCATTGCTTAGCCACTAAATATTTACTTATTTCATTACTTTTTATTTAATAATTAATTCAAAATATTAATTATATATGTATATATGTATATATGTATATAAAAAAAACAAATAAACTTCTATTTCCATTACTTCTTTTAAAGTTGTTTGTTTTGAGTTAGAAAATTTGTATAAAAAGAAGATATTTCAAATGCAAAAATTTCGTATAAAGTCGCAATATGTATGTATAAAGCTCCAAAACCTATCCAATGCAATATTTATTTTTTTACTTTCTTCTAATGTTATTTGGATTTTGCGACTGCTCTTTTGGGAGCGGTTGGGAGCGTCAGTCAACTCTTCCAATTTGTATAAATGCATTCATATACATATATATGTGTGTAAGTATATACATATATTGAATCTCGTTGCGCAATCCCGTTGCCTCTCCAATTACGCACTCTATGAAAGTGTCAGTCTGCTTTTCGCTCTACATCCACAGCCACTCGCATTCTCCTCTTCGCCTTACTTAACATCGACATACATACATATTTATTCTCGGTAATGTTTTTGTGTCACCTAACCCTCGAGCGCACCATCAATTGCTTGCTACTACACCCTTACATCTCCAGCACACAAGCACTTTAATCGACGCGAGCGTAACGCGGCACAATGTCATGGCTTATCCAAAAATTGCAGTTCGGATGATCTGACTGCGGCAGGGGATCTTGCGCAATGCTCAGCACTCTTCGGCTGGGATCGTACTGTGGCACAGTGCCGTGTGAGATGTAGTAGTAGAAGAGTTGTTGCATAGACGACATAAATCGTCGCTGCTCGGCTGTGTGTGGTTCGTACCGGCCCAGTATGGCAAGCACGTCTGTATCAACAGTAGCTAGTTGATTTTCGCCCTCTCCTTGTTGCACTACATAGAATGGTACTGTTGGCTGCAGGCGCGCATTGGTCAAAAGTGGGCAGATGGTGCGGATGTCGGTGATCATGGCGACTAGACTGCGATAATTTGTCGCATTGTAGAGTCGGATAGCTTCGTCGGTTAGATTGAGTGCGCCAATTTTCGAAGTTGCAATAAATGCTCGTATCTCTTCACTAGTCCAGTTGGCGTGTCGTTGACGAAGCTGTTCAGTGTGTGCCTCATGTGCTGTTGTTCCCATGACAAGTTTCGGTTTGCCGGTGTGTTCTTCTTTCCATGCGTCTGCGGGGTGACGTTGCAATATGTTGCCATCTAATACGAGCCATTCATGCCGCGTGCTCGGGTTCTCATCGGTGGTCGGCATGTCTACGGGGAAGTGAAGCCAGGTATCGGGTGTCGCAGCCCAAATTTGTTCAGTCGCAGCGTTGCGTAAGCACGAGATGCTACTGCAGTCCAAAGCCGTCATAAATTGTGCATTGCGTTTCTCCGACTCTTCCAAAGGTTTGCCCGGGAATATGGCCGACGAAGACGAAACCCAAGCATTTTTATAAAGACCTTCCACCTTGTTTGAAGTCACAAGCGCCGAAACGAGTGTACCACCAGCACGATGACCAAGCAAAGTTACCGATTTAGGATCGCCGCCGAAATGTGCGATGTTCAATTGTATCCATTTCAGAGCGGCAATGATGTCAGAGAGTGCATAGTTGCCCGAAGTGCGTGGATAAGCGTCTTTAGTGAGCGCCTCCAAGGCAAGAAAACCAAACGCACCTAAACGGAAGTTAGGACGCACAAAGATAACGTCATGTGAACGCGAATACCTTGCCGAGGGACGTAGTACGCCCGGCGACGGGCCCGTTAAAGTTTCGGCACCAATCAGCACAATTACCGGCACAGGGCTGTTGTAACGCACGTGTGGTGTTACAATATCCAAATACAAGCAGTCTTCATCGCCAACAATGGTGCCATTACCCAAGCGCTGTGTACAGTAGTTGCTGACATTGTGTGCCTTCAAGGTGCCGTTCCAACAATCGTCAATGCCGCCGATCGGTTGTGCTGGACGCCAGCGTTGATCACCGAGAGGTGGGAGCGCATACGGTATGCCGCGGAAAGCAAAAGCGCCATCCTCCTGCAGTCCCTCAACCATGCCGCAGCCGGTAACGGCATCGATAAAGCGGCCCTCACGCACCGGCGGTGAAGTGAGCGTTTCCAAAGAAAGCACATAGCCAATAACAGCGATGAGCGCAAGGAATAGCAAAATGCCAAGCACGATAAGACCGTCATCCACTGAGCAACGGTACGACCGCAAGCGATCGGCGAAAGACATAGGCGCTTCGGGTTCTTCGGTGGCTTTCTGTAAGAAAGAGTGTAGGGAAATAATTTTTTTTTGTAACAGAAACATTGAGTAGTGTTCATTAGTGAGACGGATTAAAGTAAATATAATGTTTTAAATTCAGTTATGCTCACATCTTCAGGCGATTCTTGTTTGATTTCACTGCTTGTTGCTTTCTTCAGCTTTGCAGGATCCTCGGTGCCATTGTTTCTAGCGGGTGCTTTATCAACGCAGTCCTGATCTTTCAGCGAGTCATCGAGTGTTTCCATCGAGGCCAATCCAGCCTTGCCCATGCCCAGTTCGACATCGTCATCTGTCTTCTTTCTTGGTATCATATTTGCAATTGGCAATTTGATCGCATTCAAAAGTCCGCGTTTCTGTGGGGGCGCATCCGAGGCGTTAGTTGTGTTGTTAGTCTCGCCATCTGCGGCTGCGGCCTCAGCGGTAGCTTCTAAAAAAATAATAATAAAAAATATAATAAACAAACAGTAATGAGTAAAAATGTTATTTGTTTCTTCACACTTCACACTTCACACCCACCACTCTTTGCGTCAGCATCGCCATTCGCTGTTTGCTTATTCTGTTGCTTATCGGCAGTGGGTTTTCGTACAAAGAAGTTGCGTAAGCGTTCACCAAAGCTGCTGCGCGGCTTCTCGTCTTTCTTGCTCGACTTGCTCTCGCCGTTTACCGTTTCAGCAGGCATTTCATCCTTATTTTCTCTCTCCAAAAGCTCGCCATCAGCGCCATCACCATCGGCTTTGGGTTTGTTTTTCATAAAGAAACCAGGCAATTTCAAACCACCAATTGGTATCTTCTTCGGTTTGACCTCACGATCTTCGGTGGAGATCTTCTTCTCATCGCCCTCCTCAGTTTTAGTCGATTCGGGTATATCAATTATCTCCTCACCACTACCCCCATTCGCTTTCACCGACTGTGCATCATCAACACCGTTGGTAGCCAGTTTTTCCACAGACTGAATTGATGATTTCTTGCCACCTAATGAAGTTGGTGTGGCTGGTTTCGAGGAAGCAGCCCTTTTCTTTTCCGTATTGGGACTGGGATTCTTATCCTTAACGCCCGCATTTTCTGTTTGCTGTTCAACAGCCTCGGTGTCTTCCTTTTTATCGAGCATTTTATCAGTCTCTTTGGGCTCGTCGACTACCTCTTGTTGTGGTGTAGTTTCTGATGGTCCTGTCTCCTTCTCTTCCAATTCGCCCATGCTTTGTACTGCTATGCTTGGCTCTACGCTCGTCTTATCGGTACTTATGTTATCAATTTAGATTTCTTTATAAATATATATTGGTGTTTATGAAAAGTTGAGTGGAAGAGTAAATTCAAAATTTGGCGGGTCTCACAAGTCTCTTAAGTCTCTTAAGTTTTTACACGCCTCAATCGTATGATAAATATCTGAAAGTGTACAGGAAGCATTTGGAATTATTAGCAGATATTCAAAACTATAATTATTTTAATAGTTTTATATTCTAGTTCATTTAATAGTAAAAAATTAAATGAATTAAACAAATTAAAATAAATCAAACGAAAATAGGTTAAAATAAATGTAAAATAACCAAAAACAACAATATATAAATTTAAAAAAAAAATTGTGAATTATATAAAAATACAAGCCACCAAACACTCGAAGAAATTGGAAAAATACAAAAATAATAGAAATAATGTTGTGGATATCAAATATAATTATTAATTTTTTACACTTAAATACTTTTTAACTCTGAATTCTACGTATATTTTCGAGTGTTTCAAAATAAGCGCGCCAAACCAGATTTTCACTCTTCATATTCTGTATTCAACACTGTTTTATTATACTCTTTAAAAACCTCGGGATGCAAATTTTTCGAAAATAATAATAGTAATATATATCAATGAAGTTTATTTTTAAGGATTTATTGAAAATAACACAATCTAACCTCAAATTTGAATTTATAGCGACGCGATAATCAAACAACCGCTATTAGTAAACACTTCTGCAAGACTACTTTACATTTACGTTTGATTCGTTTAGATCCTTATACAGAAATATGTGTATGTATACACATTCTCCCAACAGTGGAACAGTAAGTCTCTTAAAGCCTTCTCTCTCGCTGGCTGTTTAACGCTCAATACAGGAACAATGCACAACTCAAGTCACATAAAATGTATCTTAACAACAAGGATCACCTATGCTCAACAAGCAAACTAACATTCACACATAAATATCTCCTCCAGCGAGTAGTTTATCCTTAGTTCCAGGTAGGAAAGTACAAAATACACAAAGGTCAATAATCAAACTTATGGGTTTCCTTTATGAGAATATCAAATCGTCCTTTGCAACATTTTCATTGAATTTCCCTGCCACACATTTGCGAGGACGTGACGACGATTTGGTAAATAGAACCAGAAAGTAGGTAGCAAAGTTGAGCGCGCAAAACGCACCAGGAAGTCCATTTTGCTTGTAACAAATGCGTCTTGCGTTCTTCGGTTTTATGGCTTCAAATTACTCTTGAGCTCTTGTTGTTGCTGCTGCTGTCGTTGTCAGTCACGATCAAGGGTGAAAATGCCACAAAAATCACGAGCATGAAATTTTTGATTTTTTTTAATTCTGCGAGTACATATGTATATGTATATCGGAAAAATGCTTCAAATACTTAGGGTGGCGCGTTTTCCTTTCACTTCGTGTTGAGTTTGGAGTTTCATAATTTTTACGCACGACATGTTGCTAATTTCCAAATTTTTTAATGACAGCCCTCACATTTTTCAAATGGTTGTTTCAAATATGTGTGTATTTGCGAAATAATATTATGACAATTTGCAAATCTGAAAAACTACAGAATTGAGTTAGATCACCAAAAGAGAAGTGAAGAACAGTTCAAAAAATATATGAGGAAAGTGCAGTCCCTAAAATTCAAAACCGATTGGAAATGCGATGAACGGAGGAGGGTGGGTCCTTAAAAAATTCACTGCAATAGCCAGATATAAGATTGTGGTGGAAAAGAGACGCCGTCAAAGATAATAGATTATGAAACTTAATCATTTTGCTATTATATTTGGGCCTACATTGTGCTTTGTTGGCAGCTCAAATTTCGAGATAGACTGGTAAAAACTCTCAATGGTATAAACTATTTCGAATAATACTGGTTTATGTTAGAGTTAGTGAGTGATTTTTTTCTTTTATATGAATTGAATATTCTAGTTATACAACAAAGAAAAATGTTAGAAGTAACAGCTGTTTCGGAGATCACCACATCTCCTCATCAGACTTTTTCTGGGAGGGATCCAACCAACGGATTCTGATTTAACAGACGAGTGCTCTGTCATTGAGCCAACATCAGCCATGTAATCTGTTGTTGTATAATTCAATTCATCATTAACTCGCCTCTTAGGGACATACTCGTACCCTGCTATCCTGCCCACAAAAAACTGCCCAGCGATCATACCGCGTCTGTTTGCATGCTTCTTGGCTTGTATTTTTCCACTGCCGCGGTAGGATCGCAACTATTTGAGTTTGAGTTTGTTTTATTTTGAATAAAAACATATAGCTCACACGCAACTTCGTATGATCACAAAATACGAGCAAAGATCGGCTAAATATAAGCTGGATGGGAGCTGCTCAAACCCCCCATGGAGTTGGAGTTCTCAAATGGTTATGTAAAATTTTTCGAAATAAAATTAGTTATGGCATTTTAAGCCTCTAAGAAGTTTTAGAGCCTGAGTTTTGGGTGGCAACCAATGGTTTATAATGTTCTACGCAATGTTTTTACTTTCACATAATATTATCGAAATTGGGTCTCATTTGACATTTTTCATAGCATTTTAAAACTCGTCTAAATTATTTAAGAATTAAGATATTTTGAGGAAACTTGTTTCATGAGTATGGAGACTATTGAAAATGAGTGAAGAAGTCGGACCTATAAAAATTAAAAAATTGCGCCATTCTTCCACCAGCTGCAGATCCCTCCATCCTGCAGGCGAAGTTACTTTCAGCGGTTATAAAGCGCCAATTATCTTGTATATTATTCTATGCATTGATCATACAAAATGGGTCCACAAAAAACCTATCTCTCTTAGAACTGGACTTTAGTTTAGCCGCTCAAGTTCAAAATAAATATCAGCCGAGCTGGATTTCACTCGAACGTAGTGGTCTGTAATTGTTTTGGTCCAGGCTGATTTTATTTTTAGCTAGTTCAGAAATAGTATAAATGCTTGAACTTAAAAATAAATATTAAAAAAAAAATGATGCGCTGACATATTAAATGGTTGATCGCAGTTCTACACTAACGGTCACTTTAAGCGCTAAAGTCTGCAATACAAGCAAATAAAACACATCTATGGAAGTGTAAGAGTACTCAAGACACAATATAAAATATTTTCATTTAAGTATGCAATATGCATGTACATATGTATGTACGTGTTGTTCATGTTTGATATAGGTCAGAGATTGGAACAGAAAATTGTTAAATGAACATATTAGAGTGAATTATCATGAGCAATTATGCAATGCAAAGGAAGCTTTTTTTGAATGTTATTGAAAAACGCCATGAAAATATTCAGAGCAACAAAAAATGTCGTTATTCCCACAGCTGCAACGGCTGAGATGCAAACGGAAGATTATCAGTCAATGCAAGTGACAGACCAATAAGTAAACGACAAGATTGCTTAATAATAACAACAACAGGCAATAAGAGAATTCGAAAACTAAGGTTCAGCGAAGGCAGTCGACTTTCGCATCGAAGCCCGCGGCAGCAGCTACACTACCGATCACCAACAACAACAAATACTGTCGAACAATGCGTCGTCGTCGTTAACTAAATCAGTCGCCCAAAGGCAAATGCCATTAAATTTGAACTTAAAGTTCAATCACTGGTGTCTTAATCTGGATTTTAATCGTCACTCGATGGCACATTCGGGTGAGTGAGTGGCATCAATGGGCTTAGAGATGAGTGAAAATATGGATGCCAGCAAATGAGGAAATACAAAGAAATTTTTCTTTTTAATTTTAAATAAAAAAGTTAAGTGTGTATATTGGTGTTTTTGGAGAAAATGCGTGTTGTGGAATTAGTGCGTGGCGCGAATATACAGAAAATAGCCAATATTGGTCGGCTTTGGCGGCGTCACAAGCGTTAAATGTGCTACTTCTGCTTGCCATGTGGAAGCCGATTTATGGTGTATTAACAAAAAAAAAAATAACAAAGACAAATAGCTGTTACAATACATACATACATACATATATGTATGCGTATACGTGCCTGTGGGGGCCAGACGTATACCCCCTTGGGTGCACAGCATAACATGGTAGTGTGACACGCCATTGCGTGCCGCTGCAGCACAAGGAATTAGAGTTGAAAGTGCACGTAATGCTATTTTGTTCTTGTTGTTATTGTTGTTGTTGTTGCTTTAATTACAAGCAGTAACAATAATTCGCATTTGAATTTTTTCTTTGTTTTTGCTCTCTTTGTTGTTACTTCTCGCATTTTGTGCAACACAGTGCATCAACGCATCCACGAGTATTTGGAGCACGATTAGGGTCAGCAGAGTAATTATGCAACATGCACATTTCCATGGCTGGCGACACATTGCAACAACATTTACATGAATATGTACAAATTCTTCTAAATTGTCAAGCAGAAAAGGCTAATAATCAACGCAACGTAGTGGCGCTAACAGGCAGACGAGGCATTTCATGTTATGTGAGTGGAACAAAAAATGCGGAGCAGGAAAAACAGTTACATACAATTGCGATTGGAATTAATTGCGAAAAACGTATTTCTGTATGTATTGTTGTACGATTGCATAGCTGCAAAAAGGCAGAATTGCAGGAGAAGAATTAGAAAAAACAGGCCAAGAGTTCAAACACCCACCCGCCTTTGACAGTTGACTGGATAGGATAGGTTTGACGTTTCGTTGGTTGAAAATAAACATTAAATTAAGTTGTAAGTTGTTACTTTAAGTAATTGCGAAAAAATTTCTAGTTATACTCGTACTTAATAAATAATTTGACTAGGGTCTCAGCTAGTCTTAGTAATAGAACACAATAATAGTTATTTTGTAATGGTTTTGCTGAATTAATCTCGATGATTTCGCAAAACCTTTGGGTTCGATCACTGCATAGTAAAATAAAAGTCTCTGCTCTTTGTGGCTCAGCGTCTTTACTGTAGACACATAGTTTACTCTGATTATGTATTGAATGTTGTCATTCCTAAGTTATCTACTTAAGTGTGCTTGCCAGCAGTATGCGGTTCACTCCTACATATGTATATATCAATCGATTTCTTGCATGCATTTTTAGAGTGTCTTGTTTGAATGTTCCCTCAAAAAAACATTCGATACACGCACTCTAAAATATCCTGCGGTTGTCAGTCCCTCTCTCTCTCTTTCTCTCTCTCTCTCATCATACTGGTGGTTTAAAGAAGCTT